CCGATCCGTTGCACCTCCTCGGCCCAAGAATCATAGTAGTGATCAGTGTGCTGGTGGGATTCCCTGCACTCGGTAAAGTACGAGCCTCGGCCCTGCATGGCTTGCTCGAAGTCCCTACGGAGTGCTTCCCTACCCGGTCCTGTTTGGAGAACTTCCGCAGGCTTCGCGAGGACCCAGCGCGGCTTGTCATCACGGGGAATGAGCACGGGGCTCGAACGCAGGAGCTCCAGAATCACTGGGAGGCGGTCCCGAGGGGTGCTTTTCGGGATCAGCTGTAGAAGGCGGCCAGCTCTCCAAGCAACTCGGCACTGCCTGACTCCAGGCCCCAGGTTCTTCGGGATCGCGAAGATGTCTAAAGTCGACTTCTCGCCCTGGACACCAAAATATGTCGGCCCTGCTCGCATCGTGTAGGTCCCAGGGGCCGTGGGGTCCAGATCATGAAGCATTTCCGTGAAGATCGCGCCCGCGGGGCCACTCTTCTTGAGGTGGTAGGGGCCTAGGTGGTTCTCGTCGGGGTCCACTGGGGAGCCGTCCTCCAGGAGTCCGAAGCCCGAGCTGATGTCTAACCTCAAGATTGGAGTACTCCTAGCTCGACATTGTTCGACTCGACTACGAACGTGTTTCGTCACATCGACTGCAGCGTCTTTCTGGGTTCGTCGTTTGCGTTCTGCTCCGCGCAGTGGGGGAAGGTAGTCACCGATAGCCGTGACGTCCCAAAGTCCTGGTGTCAGTCGGATTTCCCCATAGCGTCCAGTGAAACTGCGCTGCCCAGGAGCAACCGAATAAACGTGTCCCGCCCGGAATCGACGGCCAAATATAATACAGATGCCTGCGCTGCTGTTGCTGTAGGGTGCTCGCTCCCATCCAAAATATATTGCTGTGAAGTGCGTGCCCACATCCTCAGTATGATCGTCCCGCCCCTCCCACTCCCCAATACACGTTTTTTGCATCATCATCATCATCAGAAAATCACAGATCCAATTCAATACAAATCTCTGCAGCGCGACCAGTGGAGCATAGAGAGAGAAGGTTGTACACTGCAGCTCGAAGAAGGTTGCTCATCGGCACCAGTCCCCCGCATAGGCTCGCGACGTGCATCAGCTGCCGAACATGGCAAGCCTGAGGTGCCGACCGCTGGGGGATCGTCAGTCTTGAAATCGCCTCAACGTCCATTATGGTGTGTGTGTTTGAGGCTAGGAGCAGGAAGGGAAGGAGGAGAAGGAGGAGGAGGAGGAGGAACCCGAGCAGGAACGCTTGCGGCCGGCTCCGAAGGGAGGCTTGGGTGCTCGAGGCCGGCTCCGAAAAGAGGCCCGGCGTGGCTGCGAGCACCGGGACCCGAACCCCAAAGCCCGGGGGTCCCCCTGTGCGACCGGGGTGGGGACCCACTCGGGTGCCCCCGGGCCGAAGAGGATGAGGAGGGGGAGGATCAGGAGGAAGAGGAGGAGGAGGAGGAGAGGAAGGCCAGTGCTCCTGGCGGCCATTCCTGGGTCGCCACGGACCTGGCCAGGCCGGCCTGCAGCTCCATGAGGCACCCCACATGAGGCATATGTTGCCAGCACAGGAGACACCGCCATGGACTTGGAGGCAAAACAGTTCCTTCCCGATTCCTTCCCCCAGTCACGGGGCAGCGAACAGGCAGAAGGCGTCCTTTCGTAGGGGGCTGTGCACTCGGGAAAGGGGCTTCTGCGGGTTCGCGGGGTTCGGTTCGTCTTCCTTTCGGGCTCCTCGTGCGTTTTGCTGGATTCGGCTCGCGCGCAGGCGCCCTGTTCCAAGGGTCGGGGTCTAGCGCTCCCACCCCCCGCACCCTTATTTTTTCCGTGCCTGCTGCAATCCGCTTCCCTTCGGGGGGGTTGCGCCTGGCCAGTGCTCCTGGCGGCCATTCCTGGGTCGCCACGGTCCTGGCCAGGCCGGCCTGCAGCTCCATGAGGCACCCCACACGAGGCATATGTTGCCAGCACAGGAGACACCGCCTTGGACTTGGAGGCAAAACAATTCCTTCCCGATTCCTTCCCCCCGTCACGGGGCAGCGAACAGGCAGAAGGCAGGAAAAGGAGGACGAGGATAGAGGGCACAGAAGCGTAGGAAGCGGGATGGAAGAGGGGGGAGAAGGGGGGAAGGACAAACTAGGCGCTCTCGCGCTAAATCTGACATCCTATGATTCCCTCCCCTCCCTTCCCGTTGCGCTGATAGTTCCTCCCGCGTGGAACTCCACAAACAAAAACAATCTTGGCATGCGCAATAAGAAAAACTGTTAGAACATGTGCGACCTGGGGGACCTTTGTGGTCTGTCGGTCCTGTGGGACCTGTGGGACCCAGGGGAACCTCTGTGGGATCTGTAAGGCATGCGACACCTCTGGGACCTGTGGTAGCTGCAGGACCTGTCGGATCCATGGGACCTGTGAGGCATGCGAGAACTGCGACACTTGTGGTACTTGTGGAGCCTGTCAGACCTGTGGTACATGTGGGGCGACCTGAGATACCTGTGGGTCCTGTGGGTCCTGTGGGGCCTGCGAGACCTGCTAGACTTGTGTGATCTGCGAGACCTGCGGAGTTTAGAAAGGTGCCACGCACTGGGGCGGGAGCACTCGTCTGAACGCGGGGAGTCCAAGGCCGATCCGAAAATGAGGCCCGCGCTGCAGCGGGAACAACATTTGAACACCGAACCAATCGGACCGTAAAGCAACCGTATGACATATAGACTTTGAAATCCAATGTGCGAAACAAATGCAGAGGGGTGATATCTTCCGCGCATCTTCAGGGAAGAGAGGAGAGTAGAACTCATGTTGTGTAGTTGCCGAGGAAGAGTACGAACAGGGGATGAGTGAGAAACAGGAGGAGGGGAGGAGGAGGGAGTTGGATGTGGGGATGGATGAGGAGGGGGAGGATGAGGAGGATGAGGAGGAAGGGGGATGAGGAGAAGAGGGGTGAGGAGGGTTGGAAGGAGTAAGAAGATGAGTGAAAGAGGATGGGGAGACAAAAAAAGTGGATGGGGGTTACGGGGAAGGAGGAGGAGGAGGAGGAGGAGGAGAGACAAGCAAGAGTGATAGCGGATGACCAACAAACAAAACGTGGGCTGAAACAGGATGATCAGTACAGGTCAATCACATTCTAAAAAGGGTTCGAAATGCTGTTTCAGCGTGCTTTCAGGCGGCGGGCGGGCGGGGGCGCGTTTGGGTACGAAAGAGCTGACGGGCGGGCGGGCGACCGGGCGGGCACAATCCGCCACCGTGCCTGTACAAAGTGGGCGTGTTAGGATGCTCGTATGTTGCCTGGCAAAGTTTCTGCAATGTTTTCTGGGGCCGCCCACCCCCCCTGCTCCTCGCACAATGCACCCGTTTAACATCGCGCCCCCCGTGGATTTGTTCTCGGGCGCTCTGTTTCGCTTCACGACGGCCAACAGGGCTCTCAAGACGGCCTCCAAGACAGCCAAGATGACACCAAGACGGCCTAAAATTGCCCAAGCGTGAGTCATCAAACAACCTGTCGGCTTGAGGGTGCGACCGAGCCACCCGTTTTCGCAGTCGTTCGCGTGGTAGCTGAGCTTGGGCCGAGAGCGTGTTGGGAAGCACGCACACAAAAGCACGCACACACACACACTAACACACACACACACACACACACACACACACACACACACACACACACACACACACACACGCACACACAAACACACTCTTCCTCCTCCTCCTCCTCCTCCTCCACCTCCTCCTCCTGCCTCCTCCTTCTCCTCCTCCTCCTCATTCCTTCCCTTTCCGCCACTTTTTCCTATTGATAGATACTCCCTGTCGTCCCCCCCAGACGTGTCCGTAGGGCAGGCCGGGCGTTTCGCCTGAACTTCCTCGCCATGCATGATCGTGTCATGAAGCTTGAACGTTGCACCAATTTTGCTGATGGAGGGCGGGTCCTTCCCAAAATGTGTCTCTCGCCTGAACGCCGCGCACATTCGTCTAAATCGCTTGCAGCAGCTTCACGGATGGAGGGCGGGTGGTTTTCAAAGTGTGGCTCTCGCCTCAGCGCCGCGCAAATTGGGTGGTTTTCAAAGTGTGGCTCTCTCGCCTCAGCGCCGCGCAAATTCGTCCTACTAGTTTGCGGCAATATCACGGGCAGATGGCGGGTCGTTTTCAAAATGTGGCAATCGGTTCAGCATCGCGCGCATTCGCTGTAAATGTTCGCAACAGCTTCAAAGATGGAGGGCGAATGGTTGTTCCAAATTGTGGCTCGCGCCTGAGCGCCGCGCACATTCGTCTTAACATGTTGCAGCATCAACAAGGATTCGCATAGACTTGTATTCTGGCACGACTTACGGTTGTCGGGACGCAACAGTCAATGTGATTCGCGGTGTTGAAGTCCCAGTGATGTATACTGGCACGATTTCGGAATGCCAGGGCGCAACGATCAGGTTGATCCGCGGCGTTGAAGTCCCAGAAACGCTGATGCGGCAAGATTGAACATTCTCACACGCTTGTCTTCTAATGGGCCACTTCCCGCAATTGAAACCAACTCTCTTGGTGGTCCATCGACAGGCAATACCTGGTGTGTCTTGGGTTTGCGGGTCCTCCTCCTGACCCTGCACCCTTGCTCATCCCCAGGGCGACGAACCCTATGCACGGACACCGCCTCTGGCCAGGTCCACCCTTCCTGAGGTATGCGTCACCCTGGCACGGCCAAGGATGCATATACAAAGATCTTTGGCCAAAGACGGGTGGGCCTAGCCATGGGCGGTGGATACAGTGGAGGCCAGTCCACAAGACCCCTTCCACAACAAACCCAACCCTGAGACCCCAGGACGTCCACTGACTTTTGATGTGGGAACGTCACGCATTCCATCGCAAAACCATCGAAAACCAAGAAACCCAGGGCACCCTGGAGGCAAACAGGGAGTTTCTCGGCATGGGCCCCCACTGTATGGCAACTCTCGTCGCCAGGCTTCTCCGCCTCTTCTTCCTCCCTGGGCGGGCGATGCTGGCAATCCCTGGGCTCCACGGGTCGAGGCAGAAGACTCAAAACCTGCAGTCTGCTGCATTGGCTGAGCCGGGAAGCTTGGCGCTGTCCTCACAAGCACGTGCTCTCCGGGCACCGACCGATATGGCTGGCATGCAGGCGCCATTCGCCCTCGACTCCCGCAAGTCTCCCAAAATTGTGTGGGGCCGTACGTTCGAGCAGTGATCACGAACAGGTTGACCGGGCAATGATCACAAACATATTGGCTGCTGCTTCCCCCCAGCGGATGTTATGAGCAAACCTTGCTCAAACACCCAGTTCAAACAATGTGGACGTGGGTGTCCACCACGAGATCTGAGTCGTTTGATAAGAAAGCGCAATGGTAAACGTCTGCGCAAAAAAACGGCTTGGCTGCGATCGAACGTTTAAACAATGAAATCCAGCCTCCTGAAGAGAGCGATCGACTGCATTAAGTATCCCACATCATGTATCGGTCGAAGCCAAGCATTAGGGACTAGGACCCTCTTGGAAGCAAGCCATGCGCTGGCACCAGGACTAGGATCATTCTGAACAAACCAGTCGTTGCTGGACCTTAACGATTTGCAGCAGACAAAATCATGGCCTTGCCGCGCGAAGTATGAGCTGTAAAAACTCAGCACGTGCCACGAATAAGACATCGCACTACCACAAAGCCACATTCGAGTTATCGCTGATGATGTCTTCGGTTCTCCTTGACGTGTGCGCGGGAGCAGATGCCTGAACTCTGCGCCGTTCGGGGGGTGGGGGGCGACGGCGTGCAACGCGAGGTTTCGCCAACTTCGTCGCTGCCGCCGACGACGACGATGGCGACACTACGACGATACCGACGAGGAGGACGACGACAAGGATGAGGAGGAGGAGAAGGACGACGACGCCGTTCGGGGGGGTGCGACGGCTCCTCTGAGCCCCCAGTTCTGGCCGAAACCGGCGCCGTCCCCCACAACGCCGACGACGGCATCCCCGATACTGAGATCGGCCCGTGTTCTGGCCATCGCACGCGTGCAAGTATCGCTCTTTGAAGGGGCACCTGCGTGGAGCGAGGTGTCTTATTCGCGGCATGAACTGTCGCGAAAGAAATTGTGCAGTCGCGCCCTCCGCTGGAATGGGCGAGAAGACCAACAGTGCCATGGAGATACTAACTATGTGCTATCCACTTGCATGAGACTCGTCTATCCGCTTGCCTGGGACTGGTCGCCAGCTACGTCGATGATTCGCACAGGAAAACATAGGACAACAAATTAGTAATCGCACACGCTGGCGATCGAGTGCACACGGACGCTATGACACGAACTTGTCATCGGATGAAGAGCCACTGCTTTGTACGATCGCATCTGTTGGAAGAGACGACATGTCAGCGCCAGACATCTTGCTGATCAGGCCAACGCCAGGATCGCCCGATGACGGTGCAGATGAATTGTGCTCTTCCGCGGCTGTCACGAGCTCTCTTGCCTTTTCCTGAAGGATCCGCACATCTCGCAAAGAGAACTCGGCACGCGGACGGGAGCAATCCACAACACACAGCGTACCAATGTACGTTGATGCATGAGTAATGAGGGGACAGCCAACATAGAAGCGTATGTTTCTGGCGAAATCTGGCAGCGAAATCCTGCCATATGTTTCGTGCCCTCTGACATCATAGACGATAATCGGCAAGTCACGATCGATGATGTGGTTGAACAACTGGTAGCAAGTATGTCCGGGCGACTGTGGAACAGTGACGACCTCCGACAAGTGGCTAGCTTTGAGGTGCAACTCACCGTTGGCCCTCCATGTGAGCACGGAGAAAGTGGCGCCATAGTGGACCATCACCTCTTCCATGATTTTGCGAACACGGTCGCACTGTTGAACTGTCTTCTCTAGCATCGGACACTCCAAGAAACGTGTCTTTTTGCAACCTTCGGCGGATTCCTCCGTGTTATGCTTCGTCTGATCCAAGCTCGCACCGAGTTCGTAGGTTGGTGCAGCACTGCGACCTTTGCAGCCTTTGCCCTTCATGCCAGGACCGATGGCAACCATGTGCCCTCCGAGCTACGGCCATGCGCGGCCGAATCCAGCTCGACTGAAAATGTCTGCGGAGCACGGGCAGGAATAGAAGCAAGAGCAGGAACTCTATGTCAAACTTGACCGCGGATGAGGACTGCCTGCTTCTGTCGGGACAGAGAGCAATACAATATGTGGCGGTGCTTGGCAATAAGAATCCGCCGACCCTGTCGGCGTGTGTGGGAGGCTTTTCCGTTTGAGTCGTCGCCGTCATCGTCGCAGTCGTCGCCGCTCCCTCCCTTGACGCTTTTCCGGTTGAGTAGTCGTCGTCGTCGCTGTCGCCGCGCCCGCCCCCCTTTCCCTGGGCCCTACGCCCCGAGCTCAATTGTACCGCGGCTTGCTCCAAGAGGGCCCTGAAACAATCCAAGACCGCTCCAAGACGGCCCAAGATACTCTGAAGACGGCCTCAGAAACCCCCAAGACGCCCCAAGAGGGCCCCAGGAGGTGAAACGCAATGCATTTCCTTGAACTGTTCTATCTTTATCACGTCCTCATCTTTCCGAGCTTCCGATGCTCCAAGACGGCCTAGGAAGCCACCAGAACCGACCCAAGACGGTCCAAGAGGCTGCTGAAAGCGCCCGAAGATGGCCCAAGACGGCCCAAAGACCGCCCAAGAGGCCCCCAAGACGGCCGAATAGGGCCCCAGAGGGCTATGAGAGGCTCCCGAGCGGGGGAACACCAGCCGACATGTCGAACCTCCCACCCCAACAGGCCAGATGCCCCCAGCCCAAGAGGCCCCCCAAGAGGCCCGAGAGAGCCCCCAGGAGCACTCCCAAGTGAACCCCAAGAGGGTGAAATCAATGATTTACCTCAAGCTGTTGAATGTGTTTTGTCGTCGCCGTTGTCGTCGTCGACCCCCTTCAGGGTCGGCGGCACCGGCCGTGAGGCCTTCGCAAATGAGGCGAACTGAGCTTAAAAATAGAGAACATTCTCAATCACCTACAAAGCGATTTTCCTTTGACGCATCTCTGCGGTCTTGAACGAGATCATGCTTGATTTTCGGTCGCTGAACAAACAGTTGGCTATTATTATCTTGAGGCTTGACTCGTCGAGAGCCCGCAGATCTGTAGAAGAGAACAACTTCGACCGCGCCTCTGGAAAGACCAAGCGGCTGGCTTCTGCAGTCTGGAGCCCCAAACTCCCAGCACCCTGGATCACAGCACTGTGCGCATCGTCCGGACTGCCGGCGAGATGAGCGCTGCCTCGAATCCCGCACTCGCCCGAGGAACTTCTGGCACCAATGAGCTGAGGCGCTCGCTCGCGAGCAGCAGCCTCGCTCCACGAATCTCACCAGCCCTCTGGGCGTAGATGGTCTAGGGAGGCTCTTCTTCCAATCCGCTTCTCCATCTTCGGGGAGGTGTTTACCCCTCCCCCGACCCCCTGCCCTGAACCTGGACGGGGGGGGTCGCGGGCAATTGGAGCGGCCAAGATGGCCCAAGACGGCTCCAACAGCGCCTCAGAGAGCCCAGGATGACCTCCAAGATGGCTCAATATAGCCGAAGATTGCTCGAGATGGCTTCCAAGATGGTCCAAGAGGCCCCGAGAACGCTCGAAGACGGCTCCAAGAGGCCTCCGAAACTTCCAAGGAGACCCCCAAGAAACCAACATCCTTCAACAACCTGAGGAAATTCAATATTTGTTGCATCGTCGCCCGTTCGTTTTCGATGGCCTTCCGAGGCTTCAAGATGGCTCCAAAATGACCCCATAAGGCCCCAAGAGAGGCCCGAAAGAGCCCCAAGACGGCCCCAAGGGGGCCCAAAGGCGCTCCCAGACCGCAGCAGGAGCGCCTCAAGAGGCGATTTGGGGAGCTCCAGAGGGGGGCCACTAATTGGAGCCCCCCATTTTTGATCGATCTCCTCCAAGATCGCCTTTAATGCTCCCAAGAGCGCCCAAGAGGCGCCCAAGATACCCCCAAGAAGCTCCCAAAAGACCCCCAAGAAGCCTCAAGAGGATCCTCGAGGCACCCAAGACGCTCAAAGACGGCCCTGGGCCCGCCAAGAGGCCCCCCAGACGCTCCCCACACGCTTAGAATGTCACGACCTGTGACACGCGACATGTGGTACGCGACCTTCTGTCTCATGGTGCGCGACCTGTGATACGCGACCTCTCGGTGCTGGTACGCGACCTGTGGTACGCGACCTTGCCGGCTTGCACTTTGGCCGTCCAGGTCGAAGAAGGAAATGAGAGGAGGGGGTAGGACGAGGCGCCCAAGAGACCCCAACGAGCCCCCAACAGACCCCAAATAAATCTCAAATATGTTTACAAGAGGCCCCAAAAAAACTGCTCCAATAAGCATCCACAATGCATCCAAGACGCCCCCAGAGTTCCTCGGAACCGCCGCAACGTTCCCAAGACGATCCAGAGAGCATGCACTCAAGAGATATCCTGGGAGACGCCGAAGGGCATCCAAGAAGCATCCAAGAAGCGTCAAATCATTCTGTTCGCCCTGATCCTCCACCTCTTCCTCCTCCTCCTCCTCCTCCTCCTGCGCCTCCTCAAGTAAACTGATCATCGTTATCCCTCCTCCCTCATCCATCCTCTTCCTCCTTCGAGCGATGACGGCTGTCCCCCTCTTTGCTCCTACACTTCCCTGATCGTCTCAACTCGCCTGTGCGTCGGTTTGGGATGGGCTGGCGGGGATACGTTTTTGTTCGCGAGCGCAAGCGGGAGAGCCCCGCGCCGTCGCAAGGGTCACGCAAGCCTAAAGGCCGCGGCCATGGACAGAAGCGGCGAGCAAGCAGCACGCCCAGAAATCAAAGACAACCGTGCCCGCGTGCCGAAGAATGGCCCTCAGCGAACTTGTCCTCAGCGAACTTGTCCTCAGCGAACTTGTCCTCAACGATCTTGTCCTCAGCGAACTTGTTCTCGGCTGCTAGACAACATGTGCCGAATCTGGGGCACGGGCATCACCGCCGTCGTCAAGAACAAAGTCCCGTGACCACACCACGTAGGCCAGCCTCAAATAAGTGCCCCCAGAAGTCTTACATCAGGGGGAACCCCAGTCGGCGATGCATGCCGTCCGATCAGTCGACGCACCACGGACCATGGCCACCGAACGGAACCAGCGAAGAGCGACGGGTGCAGGCCAAGGTTGCGCTGTGCTGACCAGAGCACCTCCCGCGGGGGGGCAGCCGCAGGGAGAGGGCCCTGGTGTCTGCTGGCACTGGCCCCAGCGTCACGGGGGGAGCGCCGGGGGTCACGTGCGCGCTGTGGGTGGCGGTCGCAGCTAACAGCCGCAGGAGCTAACAGTGGGCAAGCCCGTGCACCTCCTGCGGGGGGACAGCCGCAGGAGGATAGACGGGCCAGACAGCCCGGAGAGGCCATCGATTTTCCTCCTGGCACCAGCGCCCTTGGAGGGAGCGCCGGGGGCCAAGGCCGTGCTGTGGGTGGCGGTCGCAGCTAACAGCCGCAGAGATAGTGAAGTCAGTGCTTTTTGCCCGCTTCGGTTCACCATATATGTCGTTGCCTCCCTCTCTCCGCGCCCGCTTGAGTCACAGCCTCCTTAATCCACGTCCCTGACTCCTGCGCCGTTCTCGCACGTGCACCGCCGCAGCAGGTCCACAACCCACGTCTCGCTGATCAGCGAAAGGGCAGGGTTCCACTGCTCGCACTTCTCGCACGCGCTGAGGACAGCGCTGTAGTTCAGGATGTCGGGCTCCAACTTCGGCAACGACATCTCGCTCGGTAGCAGTGGGGCCGGCTGCCACTGCCAGCACTTCTCGCAATCGCTGATCGGGGCGCTGTGGCTCACCACCACCCACATCTCTCTGTGCAGCAGAAGGGCCGGCTGCCCCGTGTTGTGGCTCATGATGTCGGGTTCCAGCTTCACAACCCACCTCTCGCTGAGCAGCGATAGGGCCTGCTGCCAGTGCTCGCCCTTCTCGCACGCTCTGATCGGAGTGCCAGAGCTCTTGACGGCGGGCTCCAGCTTCACCACCCACATCTCGCTGAGCAGCGATAGGGCCCGCTGCCCCTGCCAACGCTTCTCGCACGCGCTGTTCTGGGGGCTGTAGATCATGATGATGTCGGGCTCCTGCCTCACCACCCACACCTCGCTGAGCAGCAACAGGGCTGGCTGCCACCCCTCGCACTTCTCGCCCGCGCTCGTCGAGGTGCTGTAGCTCGTGATGTCGGGCTCCGGCTTCGCCACACACATCTCGCTGTGCAGCTATAGGGCTGGACGCCACTGCCCGCGCTTCTCGCGCGCGCCGACAGGGGCGCTGCAGCTCATGATGGCGGGCTCTGGCTTCAGCTACCACATCTCGCTGAGCAGCAATGAGGCCTGCTGCCACTGCTCGCACTTCCCGCGCGCGCTGATCGGGATCCTGTAGCTCACGACGTCGGGCTCCAGCTTCGAAGCCCACATCTTGCTGAGCAGCGGCAGGGCTGGATGCCGTGGCTCGCACTTATCGCAATCGCTGATCGGGATTCTATAGCATAAGGTGGCGGGCTCCAGCTTCACCACCCTCATCTCGCTGAGCAGCGGTAGTGCCCACTGCCCCTGCCAGCACTTCTCGCACGCGCTGTTCTGGGCGCTGTAGATCATGATGATGTCGGGCTCCTGCCTCACCACCCACACCTCGCTGAGCAACGATAAGGCTGGCTGCCACCGCTCGCACTTCTCGCCCGCGCTCGTCGAGGTGCTGTAGCTCGTGATGTCGGGCTCCGGCTTCGCCACACACATCTCGCTGAGCAGCGATAGGGCTGGATGCCACTGCCCGCGCTTCTCGCGCGCGCCGGCCAGGGCGCTGTAGCTCATGGAGGTCGGGATCATCTTCGCCACCCGCGTCCTCCAGAGCAGCGCTTGAGCCTCCGGCCACCGCTGGACCTTGGTGTCGGTCAAGTGTTGCTGGGCTGGTGGGGATACTTTTGGATCGCGACCGCGAGCGGGCATCCACGCGGCGTCGGAAAGGTCGTGCTACGAGCGGAGGCCGCGCTGGTGGGGATACGTTTTTTTTGATTATATATAAAAAAAAGCCGCAGGCGGAAGCGCCAGCGGCGGAAGGTCGCGAACGGGCCGCGGACGCGACT